ATTGTTTGTTGTTTGTTTGTTTGACAATTGTGCCGTCTAAAGCAGGATCTTACACTGCTCTGTGGGGAAAGAAACGGGAAGTTCCTATGTATTTTGGGGTATGTTTTATTTCATCTTTATTAAAATAAGCACAGAAAAAAATAAATACAGAAATAAGTGAGATGGGAGTATGGTGTTCCATGACTTTGCTGGCCAAAACGCCTCTAATTTGACTCCCTTCTGGGTGTCCCAATGGTTATTCTTATACAATCAATGGCCATTTAAGGGTCATAGAGTAGAAGTGAAACTTGGGTGTCTTCCAGTCCATTCCCAACCCTTCTCCATCCCTAGGTGATACTGTAATGTATTCCCTTTATTTAAATTTAGCCTGCACAGTTATCAAGAGAAGTTGATGTTGCACATTTTACTTAATTTTGCACTGTTCTTTTCAAATTTCTAATTAACTCAGCCAAATGAGCCAGTAATAAATTATAAAGCAATCTCTTAATTTTGTGTTCTTGCGCTTACTCCTAATCCCCTTTGTTCCTGTTAAAAATAACTCTCCTTCACCAAAATCGTTGCTCTAGTAAGATGCAATGAATAAACGGATAGTACTAAAGATTTAACGTCTACTGCAAAAAAGCACTTTCACTAATACTGGCAGAATATATAAGCAGAAAAAAGAAGCAAACATTTTATTATATTTTTTAAAAAATCTCCCCAGGGAGAGAGCATTTGATTAAAGGTTCTCAGAGACACACAGAATGAAAATGGAGCTGAAGTGTGTATGTCTTTTAAAGAACAGATTACATCCTGGAAACATGATAATTAGTCAGTACTTAAATATATTAATTAAACTAATTAAGTTAGGAAATGTGGGCAATTGTACTGAAAGATAGACTTCCTGCTAAGATTTTTAGATGAAAAATTCCCTCCAGTCCCACAGGGCAGTGAAGACTCCTCCCATGCCTTGGGGGTTGATTGGAAGATCTCACTGAAGGAAATTCTTAGGCGTGTGAGTGCAAGTTCATATTTATGAGGTTTTTTTCCCCCCTAAACATTGAGGTTGTAAAAACCTTTAAGAGTATGTGATCTTTAAAAATATATAAGATTTTCCCTGGCTGGCGTGGTTCAGTGGGTTGAGCATCATCCCACGCACTGAGGGGCTGCCTGTCTGATTCCCAGTCAGGGCACATGCCTGGGTTTCGGGCTCCACTCCCGGTAGGGGGCGTGCAGGAGGCAGCCAGTCAGTGTTTCACTCTCACATTGATGTTTCTCTCTCTTGCTCTCCCTTCCTCTCTCTCTAAAATAAATAAATAAATAAATCCCATAAAAAAAGAAACAAATATATATATATGTATGTATATGTATATGTATATATATATGTATAAAAAGGATTTACTACTGGCCGGTGGGTCTTCAGATCCAAGTGGACGCGGGCAGCGAGCAGCGGGTGCCTCGCCTTTCCTTTGCGGCACCTGCTGAGGATGCTCGGGAGAAGGCCTGGGAATGAAGTGTCTCCGAGCATGGCACACGGTTCTGAGCGGCTCCTGCTCACCAAAGCAGCTGATCTGCCCCTGGCCGAGTGAGCGTGAGGCCCCCCGAGTGAGAGGAGCGCTGATGTCACCACACGACTGGCGTCAGGATGGGAGAGAGCTTGGGGACCAGTGCTAGAGCCCCCCTCCCCCAGCTTGATTCTGATAACAAGACCATGAGGCCAGTAATTAAGTGCTTGCTTCGAGTTTAAAACATTCAGAGAGATTAAAGGGTAGCAAGGAGGTGAGGGTGACCCTCCAGTCTGTAGGGTCCCTGCATGTGAGATGGGAGAAACCAAATTAGAGGGTAAACACCGGTCTGCCGCAGTACAGTTCAGTGCCGAATATACTTATTACGTGGGTTGCATAGCGCCCTATGCAATATCATGAATTATACAAAGATTGATGAGGCACAGTGACTGCCATTAGTATAACTGGGAGATAAGGAAATAACAGAATTATGAAGACCTTGCAGAGTGTGGCAGGTGCTCGAAGCTTCCGGACAAACGGCTGTGGTGCAAAGGTGAGACAGGCCCCTCGGGGTTGGAGAAATGACACAGGACTCCCTAGAAGCCGGATCAGCTGAACGGGCCAAAGAGTGGCCCATCGTCTAATTAGTAGAGATGGGGAGAGAATGAATGGTGGAAATAAGTGCCCGCCACGGCTGCGGGAAGGGATGTGTCCAGGGGCCACCGGTCCTCGAAGCTGGCCGGGCCGCGGGAGTCACCGGCTCCACTGTGGTAACGTAGGCTTGGAAAAGCCATGTGGGACCAGACCGTAGGTGTCTTGTATGCCTGAGCCAAGGAGCCTGAGCTTTATTCCACAGCCAGGTTTGGGGGCAGAAGAGCCATGCAGCCAAGACTGTCACTGGAAAGGTGACCCTGGAAAACAGGACACCCAAAGACGACTGCACTGGTCACATTAGCGCCAAGCTAATGAGGGCAAAACCAGGGCACTGGTATATGAATGGCTTGAAAGGTACAGAATCAAGACACTTGAAATGACAGAGTGGTAAAGGAAAATAGAATTAAAAGTGTCCCCAGAACCTCCATTGTGCTTGACCTGCAGGACCGTGACACCATTCATCTGGTGAGAATTACAGAGGAGGAGCAGAAATGAAGCTGTCCGGCAAGAGACACAGGCAGGTAAGGTCACCTGGGGACCCATGAGCATTCGGGCATTAACGGTACAGGTGGGTGAAGGGGTTCAGGAGACACAGGCGAACTCGGAGCATCTCCCCAGAGGAGCCCATGGGGACAACGCTGGGAGAGGGGAAAGAGCTTCAAGGCTGTGATATTTGAGGGCTGGGCAGAGGAAGGGGACAGCAAAGAAGACTCAAAAGGAACGGCAAAGTCAAGCTAGGAGAGCGTGCCTGGCACACAGGGGACACCAACTTCATATACCAGGGTAGTGCCCAGTCATACCAATCACGGAAATTTTTTTAAAAAGAGTATTTCAAGAATAAAAGAGTAATTATATATTTTAAAAGAATGGGTTCTCCTGTATGTGAGTTATTTCCAAACAAAGTTAGTATTAAAAAGAATAAAGGAGTCCGCCGATGTGGCTAGTAGTTGAGCGTTGACCCATGCACCAGGAGGTCACTGGTTCGATTCCCCGTCAGGACACATGCCCAGGCTGTGGGCCCCATCCCCAGTGGGGGACGTGCAGGAGGTGACCAGTCGATGTTCTCCCTCATCGAGGTTTCTATCTCTCTCTCCCTCTTACTTCCTCTCTCTCTAAAATCAATAAAGAAAAAAAAATTTTTTTTTTAAGAATAAAGGGTGATCAATTGCGTAAGATGACATAAATTAAGGAAACTGAGGGCTGAGAAGAGGCCTATGGAACTGACTATTTACGGCACCAGTAACCTCCAGAGATCAAGGCCAGAGAGCAGAGGGCGGAAGTCCTGCTGCTGGGAGCAAAGAAGGCTTCTGAGAGCGGAAGGATCTAATTCGTGTCTTTTCTCAGTAGGTTCAACATCTTTTAATGCTTGATTTTTGATATAAAAGTAATACATTGTTACTGTAGAGTATTTGGGAAATGTAGAGAGGCTTTAAAAATGGACAAAATGAAAAATCATCTGATGGTCTACTACACTGCAAGAACCATGGTTAACGCTATGATAGATTTATTTCAGTCATTTATTTTGGTGCTTATTATTTACAGAACTGGGATCTTGAAAAATCTGCAGTTTTTTATATTGTTTTATTTAAAAAAAAAAAAAAAAACAACTCAGTCTCATAGCATTTACCATTGTATGGATATGCCATCATTTAAAAACCATTCTGCCATTGCTAGACTTCGGTTTATCTCTCTCCTGTATTTAGTTTGCTATTTTCATTGTAATGAACACATCTTTCCTTAAGTCTTTGTCATATATTATTTTACTCTTTCCTTAGATGGGGGATTGCTGTGTCAAAATAACACGGGTATTGTTATCACTCTTGCTGTATTATCAAGCGGTTTTTCAGAAACATTGTACCAATCTGCAACCCTCCGAGCCATGAGTCACTGTCCTTCCCTGTTGAGTATTACCATTTTCTTTTCACTCACTTTGCCTCTTTGAGAGATTAGGAAAAACAAAACAAAACCGTGATCTCACTGTTGGATTAATTTGCATATTTTAGCTCAAAGAGCTCTCAAGTAAGATTTCTTCTTTAAGATCTGTGATTTGTTTCTAAGACTCCTGATTAAAAAGGCAACAGAGAGAAACAAATTGATGAAGAAAGATTATGGAAATGAACTCAGATGAAAATTTCAGTTCTATAAAAGCCAACGAAGGGACACATCCATCTAGACAAAGGGAAGGAAGCCGTTCATTGATGACAACCAAGCACGGCGGGGAAAGAATCCCTCTCCCGTGCGCCATGAGTCCTTCCGGCTATTTTCTGAAATCTGTTCCTCCCCAGTCGCAGGAGGTGGGGTAAAGTCCTCATGAACAATTCTCTTGGATTCCTTACATTCATCTCGTTGACATAACCCAACACATTCGATTCCACTTGTGGTGGCGTATTTGTGTGTGTGTGTGTGTGTGTGTGTGTGTGTGTGTGTGTGTGTGTGTGAGGTACGTGCCCCTAGCAGGAACAGAACTCAGGACTCTCTGGTCTGCAGGCCGACGCTCAACCGCTGAGCCAAACTGGCCAAACTGGTGTATTTTAGAGAAACAAGCTAAAACCTTCTTCCTATGTATTTGTGCTCAAGGTCTAATGACATGGGAATAAGAATCAAACTGTCATTTCCTAAGCGCTAGGCACCGTGCCAGGTAATTTACACACACGATTACCTCTCACAACACTTCCTAGCGGAAACTACCAGACCCATTTCACTGATGAGAAAACTGAGGCTCATAGAGCTCTGGCTATGCTCCAAGCCACACAGCTGCGTGGTGCTGATGCCAATGCGCCCTCACACAAACCCCTAACCCCTCTCCCCCTTTGTATGCCATTTGACATTAATATTCTGTGAGACAATGTATTATCATTATCCTTACCTGGACGTCAAGAAAGGAAAATGATGATACTATAGCAATCTAACAGCATCTCAACAAAACACCTTCAATCTTGTAGCTGACTAGATATGAAGAGATCAGAGAAAAAGAACCTAAGTTGTTAAAGGAGACACTTCAAGCATCCTTCTCTCTGACTTGACCACAATTCTCTCACTTTTTTGAACCCCCCAATCTCTAAGGCCCCCATCTTTCCACCATCCAGAATCAAAGCAATACCACGGCCTCAGTCCCTTGCATAACTTGAATTCCGTACCCCACCAATATAATCAGAGCCTTGCCGACACCTTGCTGACTGCATAGCTCTCCCTGCCCATCATCCCCACCTGCCAGCCCAGGCTCCCCGGTCAGCCATCGCCTCTACACCAGCACCCTGGCAACTCAGTGTTACCAGAGAAAAGGACCAAACCTTGCCAATTGCTCTCATTTTCCATTCATAACCCGAAGTTTCAAATAGCCACTTCACATTGCCTAGCGATTCTAAATATACTTCCTTCGAATCTGTATTTTTCTCCTGCTCCAAAATGACGACTTCGCATCTCCAATGCACAAGACCCTTCCCCAGCGCGTAGGCTGATGAACCTGCCCCTTTCTACACGGGGAAGAAGCGATCATCCCGGAGCAGGCTCCCCTTAACGTCCCTCCCTGCGTCTGCATCCCGAGTGGCCTTCCAGCTGTCACACTGGATGAGGTAACCCTGCTCCTACCAAGTGCTCCTGAGGCCAACTTTTCCAAGTCTCGAGTTTCCTCCAGGCTCAGGGCTCAGTTCAGAGCCTCCCCTCCCTCAGGACCGCCCTCATCCAGCCACTTCCTAGGGTTCTGTGCTCACACAGTGTTCTCAGTAGGGGCCACGGAGTAGCTGCATCAGCATCACAGGGCACGTTAGGGATGCACATTCTTGGACCCCAGCCCGGACCCACGAAATCTGCTCCAGCCACTGTTCGGGGGAGTCGGTTTATGCTGAGCCAGCTCCTGGCCACACCCTTACAGCCCTACCAGGGGACTGCTCAACATAACCATTACTAAATGTTCAAGTAAGCGTTCGGGTAAGCAAGGTACATTTAACATGGAAATAATAAATGCTCACATTTCAATGCTCTATGATAAAGTAACCACCTTTATCTATGCTCTTGAGGTTCTTTGCCTCTGGTGCGATGTACGAGGGACATGCCACAGCGGTCTCTTCTTGACTTCACATTAGTGACACGTAGTGGTTGCTGGAAATTGACCTGGGTGGGAGCATTTACACATGCACATCAGCAACTGCTACCAATCAGGGTCTTTTCTCCAGAGATGCAGTTGTCAAATATCTCCCAGTACATCACTGGACGAGGCCCAAGGAGCTTCTTTCGGACCAGCCTTCCAGGGGATTCTGATGCGGCTCGAGTTTGAGAACGGATTAGAAGAACTGTCCTGTCTGCCTCCAATCGCCTGGCACCTCCTCCCACCACTAACCAGTCTAATTTCTCCCTCACACACACATGACGGAGCTTGCTTCACTTTAACCCGCCTCAGCTTCACACGACTTGATTTCACCCAGTGGAAGAAGGTTTTCTATAGGAAAGATATGCTTTTCCTTGGGACCCAGGGTAAGTCCTTGTTTTATTTTACATGTATGTCCAAGATTCTATAAAAAGACATTTTTATAAAAAGTTTATTTGTGCCCAGCCGGTGTGGCTCAGTGGTTGAGCGTTGACCCATGCACCAGGAGGTCGCCGGTTCGATTCCTGGTCAGGGCACATGCCCAGGTTGTGGGCCCAGTCCCCAGTGGGGGGCATGCAGGAGGAGGCCCATCGATGTTCTCTCTCATTGATGTTTCTCTCTCTCCCTCTCCCTTCCTCTCTCTAGGATCAATAAGAAAAAAAATTTTCTAAGTTTATTTGTAACCTAATCTCATGTTAGTATTTGTTTTTAATAACGTAATATAACTACAAAATGATTTTTTTCTAAAAATGTCATCTTAGTGAGCCCTGTCATCCCTTCTCCATTTAGAAGTTTGCTGGATGATGAGAACCAGCAGGTGGCAGCAGGGGCTCTTGGAAACAAGGCTTAATGCACTCAAAGCATTTGGCCAAGAAAGAGCGTAAACTTTGCAGTCGAGCACAATTTTAAATAGTTTGCTGGTTCATCATATTCTTTGCATCAGCAAACTGCCTTTGGAAATGCAGGATAGACTATGTTCTATAGTTTCATAAAAACAATAACAGACAAAAAAGTATTTTACCCTTTTTATGCAAATTGGCCCATATAAAAAAGAGTAGGTTTAAAAATTTTAAATTCTTACAGATTCAGGTTTAAATTATTTTACTTCATTAATATATATATTTTTTTCTTTATTGATCTTTAGAGAGAGAGGACAGGAGAGAGAGAGAGAGAGAGAGAGAGAGAGAGAGAGAGAGAGAGAGAGAAACATCAATGAGAGAGAACATCGATTGGCCTCCTCCTTCATGCCTCCCGACTGGGGATTTGGCCCACAACCTGAGCATGTGTCCTGACTGGGAATTGAACTGATGACCTCTTGGTGCATGGATTGATGATCAACCACTTAGCCACTCTGGCCGGGCTTTTTGTTGTTGTTGTTGTTGTGTTTTGTTTTGTTTTTATCCTCACCCTAGGACATTTTTTGTTCAGGTAGAGTGGGAGGGAGAGAGAGGAAGAGAGAGAGAGAGAGAGAAACATCGACATGAAAGGGACACATCGAGTGGCTGCCACCTGCACGACCGACCAGGGCCAGGGACAAACTGCAACTAAGGTACGTGCCCTTAGCAGGAACCGAACCCGGGTCTCTCGGAACCGCAGGCTGATGCTCTAACTGCTGAGCCAAACCGGCCAGGGCTGTTGTTGTTTTTTAAAGAGAGAGGAAGGGAGAGAGAGAAACACCGATCGGCTGCCTCCTGCACACCCCCTACTGGGGAATCAAGCCCCCAACCCATGCATGTGCCCTGACCGGGATTCAAACCAGGACCTCTCAGTCCATGGGACAACACTCAATCCACTGAGCCACACCGTCTGGGCTCATTAATACTTTTAAATGTCTTTTATATTATTGCTTCTACAACCAGTTTTCTTGTAAACACAGGAGACAATATACAAATAAAGAGCACGTACTATAAGCCACAGAAACCCCGCATTTTTAAACAAACACGAAAGACCAGAGTGTTTAAATGGATTCTCTAGGTCTATAATATCATATAACATCACTGAAAGACATGCAAGGCAATTAAATTGAGTTTGCTATTAAGCGTGCTACCGCCCTGGCCGGTTTGGCTCAGCGGTTAGAGCATTGGCCTGTGGTCTGGAGAGATCCGGGTTCGGTTCCCGGTTTCAGTTTGTCCCCGGCCCTGGTCGGGTCGTGTGGGTGGCAACCACTCGATGTGTCCCTTTCACGTCGATGTTTCTCTCTCTCTCTCCCTCCCACTCTATCTGAACAAACTATCAAAAAAAATATCCTCCGGTGAGAATAAAAAAAAGAGTGCTACAAATACATGGGGTCTCAGTTGCATAATTAAAGAAACCCATTTTCACGGAGTGGTTCTGTGTGCACATAGCCCTGGATATTAAGACTCCATTAGGAGCCTTGAGGCTCGAGGGTTGGGCCATAGTGGCAATCCCGGCAGAAGGGGTGCTTCTTTCACTGCTGAGCAGTGATGATATAGTATCATCACTGAAATACAGGGAAAACTATCTTTTTTTATGACTCAATTTCAATGTCTTTCTGATGAAATCATTTATGTTGGGCTCATAAAGATGTGTAGACACTAGGGAGGAATAAATGCCCAATGCAATTATTTTCTGGGCATCATTTATGAACTGGCACTGTGTGATGCTCAGATGAACAAAATGCCTGTTTTCCAGGAGCTAAGAGACTACAGGGTTTAAGAGACAATCAGAAGACTATACTCTTATTTCACAAGATAGTTTTGCTAATTAAATGAAATAACAGAGAAAAGCACTTCACAAACTAAACATTGAACAAATGTCAATTTGCCATTCTTTTTGAATAGGTAAGTGACAAAAATTAAAGTGGTGTTCCGAAAAGATTGATAAGACAGATTAAATGGGGAAAGTAACCTTAGGAAAACTGACCAACTAGGAGTCCACAGCAGTGACCCAGACAGGAGGTGACAGAGCATGTGTGACCTGACTGGGGCAGAGGGAACAAACAGCTGAACAAAAAAATGAAGAATGCAAACGACTTTGTGTTGGACAGTAGGTCAATAAAGAGAAAAGAGACAAAAATACCTCAAATGTATTCCCTGGATGATTGGGGGAATAATAAAACAGGAAATCGAGTGGGAAATATCATTTAGGGAGAAAGATGAATTTGACTTTTGACATGTTGAGTTTGAGGCGACAGCAAAGATCAGAGCAAACACAACAGAAGGTAGTTTGGAGATGTCACAGCTCACAAACTCCTACTCAAACTTCATGACCCACCTCCCATGTCCTCTCATCTTGAAAGTCTTTCTTTGATAGCCCTCAGAGATTTAGTTACTCATTTCTCCATGTTCCAAAAGCAGCTTTAAAAAACAAAACAAAACAAAACAAAACTCTATCTTAGCACTTGTCACAGTGATTGGCTTTACCAGACAGGATTTATAACTTCAATTAGATTCCATTAGAATTGGTGGAAAGTAAAGAAAGTCATCCATCTTTTTTTAAAATACTCACCAGAAGATATGTTTATTGATTTTAGAGAGAGAATGAGAGGGGGGGGAAATTAATGTGAGAGAGAAACATTGATCAGTTGCCTCCAATACTCATCCGTTATAACCCAGGATCAAACTCACAAGCTAGGTATGTGCCCTGAACAGGAAACAAAACTGAAACCTTTTGGTGCATGGGACGGGACGATGCTCCAACCAACTGAGCCACCTGGACAGGGCAAAAGTCATCTTTATGTCCTTAGCACCAGCACTGCACTCCAGTCAAGGTATTCAATAAATGTCTGGTGAATGATGTAAGGAATAAACTGATGAAGAAACTATCTAATAGCAAAATACAGGATTTGGAAGTCATCTGTTTAAAGGGAAGGCACAGCTGTTAATGGATATAATTTCCAAGAAGAATACTTGGAAAGAAGTGAAAGCTAAGGGAAGGACATGTATAGGGAGTCAAGAAGAAAGACAACTTAGTGAAATGAAAAGAATATGAGCCAAAGTCTCAGAGAAAAGGGAAGCTGTCACTAACATAAAAGGACACACTCCAGCAAAGTTTTAAAATGCTCCTGGCATCTCAGTGAATGAAGATAAAGAATGAACCATTGAATTTCAAAGCCAAACTGACTTGAGAAATTTCAGGTGTATTTCACCAAGAACAAAAATAAGAGCAATGAGCAAATACACCTAATTCAGTGAAGAAGCCAAGAACCTGGGAACAATCCCTTCTTGTTATTTATATGTGGTAGGAAGACTGCACAAGACTGAGTGCAGGCTGGGTGCACATCTCCAGGCAAAGAAGTTGAAAGTGGTAAAAGGATTAAGAAGCTGATTTTAAAACATGATGAATAACAGGACCATTAGTGCAGTCCTGTTGATAAGGAACTGACAAGCTGGTGAAGAGGACCAACGAAGCCTTCATGGGCATTTTTCACAAGGAATGATGACAGTGTCAAGCTGAACCCCTGCTGGTTAACGTCTTGTTAAGTGGGCATTAGTTTAGGACCAAACAGACTTAGCTCAGGCTGCCCTCCCTGTTCCGGGGCATCTCCAGATGTCTCATCTGGGGTTTGTAGTCCTTGCTGAAGGGGTGGGTCTAAGTATTCAGGCTAAAGCATCTGGATTCTTGATTGCATTCCAGGAAGTCCTAGTATTTCTGGATAGTCCAAATGAATTCCCAGAATCAGCCTAGGAAGGGACTTTAAAAATAATTTGAATTGACCTTCTTATTTCCAAACAAGGAGACAGAGGTCCTAGGAGGTCAAGCGGCTTCTCCAGGGTCACTGTTGGTTATGAAAGACCGAGAATGAAACCCAGGTGTCCAGATGGCCAGTCCTGTGGTCTTTATGTTTTACGCTGTACTTTTCAATATTGTAGGAAGTGGGGGAAGAAAGAGCAGAGACAGAAGAGACACGATGAGACCTGTGGAGACCTGACCTCTTGGCCACAGCACCAGCCCAGCCTTGTGCGCTTTCTCATGAACCCCGGGGTCGTCAGTGAATGGGGAAGACAGGTCCTTCCTCACAGGAGTCAGAGGACAGGGTTTGGCCTTCTTCAAACAATTTTTAATC